GAATACACGCACAAGTCAGCTCGGCTGCACTACGCGAATTCCCAGCTGTAATGGTAACAGTGGTTACAGCAAACTTGAAAATCACTTATTTTAGTGGATCATAGAGATGAAAGTTCTGTCACAAGAGCTTTGCGGTAAATAGCTTAAAATTCACATCTGTTTTTCCTTATTTACTTACGGACACCGAATTTGTATATGAGTAGTTATGAGAGTTTCCATCGATGAATGTGCAGCCTAGTAATTAGTAGGATTTCAATCTAGTGCTTTATTACTGATGGGACAAACATAATAATGTCTACAGAACGTAAGATATGTTACGTTGATGATTAGTTCGTTATCAGTCAACAGATGAAACAGCACAAAGAAACTCTCTTCTTAAAGAACTATATTCACTGAGAAGAGAAGAGATAAGAGACCATTATCGGGTAATTCCCAATTATTGACAACGTATCGATCAAGAATTTGCTCCAAATGTGACTCCACATAATTGGGTGATGCTCGTCGTTTTCGTGACGTTGATGTTGACGTTGGCATGAACTGAGAGTTGGTCGAGGTTGGTCGTGAATCGCATTGTGACGAGAGCGAATTCATGACGAGCGCAGTATAACTCTCAGGACTTTGACGGAACAGTTGACTGAGACCATTTTTTTCTAGTTCGAGTGATGACGCATTGCGATGATGACACGACAGTGGTGAATTGACTGCCATTGGGGTGGTTAGTGCTAGTGCACTTCGAAGCGCAGGCTCAGAACTTATCAGCGAGGCGAGTAGATTATTCGCCTTCGTCGTACTGTCCATCTCATCGTCGTTGTCGTCGTCACCGAATTTGAAATTCAATCCCGACGCGAGTTTCTTCAAATCACTATTGCCGAAACCATTCAATTTCTCCTCATTTGCGCACATATCTGCGAGACCATTCGAAAATGTGGACAAGAAGCTGGATGTGGACGCGCTTGAAAAGGTCTGATCCAGATCGAAACCATTGGACACATCGAAAAGATTGTTCGCATCATCATTCAACAACGCGCTCGTCATCTCTTGATAGGCTTGCATTTGATCCAAGTACGGCTGACGTTTCTTGTTGGCTGCGGTGGCTCGTGGTGCACGAGGCTGCTTCTGACGTGGTCGTCCCTTAACGATCGCCTTCGCAAAGCCGTTCGCCTCTTTCTGCTTTGACTCTTCGATAGTTGGTGGAATGCAAAAATGGTCGTTGGCTTCCGGAAAGTCCGGATCGTTCACGATGTAGCCGTTCTTAACGGCTATGCAAGGAATTTGTGGTGGTTTACCGTCCGGGCCAGGTGCCACTCGGTTCTTCATTGAGCGACACGACATGCAACGGTAGTAGCATGAACTAACACCCGATTGGTTCGTGAAACGAGTCTTGAAAGCGAATTCACGACGATGACCCGGATGTGAGCGACTTTCGTAGACGAGAACATGACCACCGAAAACGGTCGGGATGAAGGTGGCCGGATGTGTGGTGAATTTGGGCAACTGATCAGCTGTATAGATGGTCATTTCGGGTTGTTCTTGCTTCAGCAATGATTCATCATTGGTTGCCTCGCCCAGTGGGCAATCTGTGGGGGTTTCTGTGGTGGTGGCCGTTGTGAATTACTGAAATCAAGGCACAAATAATGAAGTTGCGTGTCTCGTATCGATCAGTGACGAATCTCGGAATACGATTGCAATGCGACAAGTTTACAGCGATTGCATTACAACAAAACGTGATCCATGCAATTTTTTGCACATACATTCAAACACATAAATGAGTCAAAATACGACAAGATTAATACAACGAATCGACAAAATCAAAAAATTTGCAAACATTTCAATATACTATCAGCAAGATTCGCATTCAGCAGGCATTAACCCTGAGAAGTTAATCGGATGATTTAATTCTAAACATAGTGAGGTCATTGCAGGCAGTCGTAAATTGAGTTGCTATTTCGCAGCTGATGATTCTCTGATAACACTTGTCTCATGTAATTGTATTTACATGAATTATCTGTCAACGTTGTGCTGAATAAGACAAAGGCAGAACTGAAGTGATAACAAATTTGCATTGGGTCCTCAATTTCTGCGATCTTATTGCCTCTAACTACTGTACATTCAGATGTCATGTAACTGGAGCAAATTCGGCTAGAAATTGCAAAGCAATGAGATCCTCAGAGAATCTATCAACGTGGGGAAAATGGCTAAGTATGATAATGCATGGCAGTGAATTTCTTGAAAAGTCTACAAAAAAAACTGAGAAATAAGAATCATAGAAACTCGATATTTGAAAGGTTTTCAGCAAAAGTGGAATTAAGATTGATCAAAAGTGACGTGACGGCTGCAGAGTCTGAGTTCGTGATGTACTGAGCATATTCATATGTGCACGCACAAATATGAACGATGATGGCCATAAAAATGTATTTCATGCATAGATGGAACGATGAACCATTGGTGGTCCAGTTATTGTCAAAGACTGGATTGAATCAGTTAATAATTTAGAAATGTTTCGCTCGTTTCAGTCATTCTCTTTTTTGTTGCTCTCTTCACATCATCATCGTCATCGTTCTCTGCATTCACAAGGCCTGGTTGGCTGCTGTTGGTTGTTTGATTGGCTGCTGTATTGGATGATTAAAAACGAAACAAGCTATTGCTGCTATGTTTTTGCTGAATATGTTCTTGTCTGCATGTGCATGTGCTGCTGCTTGTGTTCTTCTCTTAACACACACATGATGAGGTAACATGCACAAATGCCTCGGGCGATAAGACTTGCTGTTGATGCGATGGTACATTGAGTTGTATTATTGAAATGCCATCATGCATCTATCTTTTTGCTGCTATCCAAAAAATTTCCTAGCTCCACTTATACATCATGCAAACCTGCCTGCACACATCTATACAAATGAAATATCATCCCCACTAAAAATTTCTTTCCCAATCCAAACTGTTCATAATGCGTTTCATTCATCGCGAACTCAGAATTTCATCCAACCACAGCACTTTAAATGCCAAGAACGATCGCTTTTTTTCTGACGATGAGATGAGTGCTCTCAAATACCATAGCACCTACATGCCAACAACAAATCAGCAGCCGCATTTGTGAACGTCGCAGATAAATGTTTCTCTCAGCAACAAAAATTGATGCCAATGTATTAGCACATCTTCAACTAACAACTTTTCATTCATGAGCGTTAATATGCTGACTTTTTTCGGTCATTTCCTTCCACTCGTTGACATTTTCAAGCAGTTTCTTTTGAGTTTTGTAAAAATTTTGTGGCATTCACCAACCGAATTCCACTCATTGTCAACGAAATAAAAGCGGAGCAGACCCGACTGGAATTTCTTCTAAATAAGAGCACACAACTTTACGAAGCGTTTTGCGTTCGTTCGTATGTATACGTATGGGTGTGACACATCGACAGGCCATTAGTTGGCTGCTGACAACTTGTTCAATCGGGTTTTTAGATAACAACGTACCGTATCCTATCATACGATTAGTTTGCTCAAAAACAAATTTTCCATCGGGATTACGCCAAACTCCGAAATATGACCACTGGAAACGTAATGCTTGCTCACAACAAACATCCCATACTTTGCATATTCTCCTATTTAACCCTACAATACTCATTTTAGGAAAGTTTTCAGGAATCTATTAACGGATCAATTGATTGCAATTTGCCGATTGTGAGCCTGAACCAATCTATGAATTGGCACGAATCAGAAACTGGCACGTTTTATTTAAACAGATGCTCAGTGCTTTGGAAGTAATTCATGATCAGGCTAAAAAAGTTGTTTGCCCAGGAACAGGTATGTGAGCTTAGGTTTATGGATTGTTTGATTTATAATCGGAGCAATCGAATTGGAGAGTGTTAAGGAATAACCTCAACAAGTAACACGATTGAGTATTGAGTATTGAGTTTAAGACAACACAATAACATCGCTCAACGAACGACGATCTCATTTATATGCTACTACTGTAATACAATGAACTGACTGACTCGATTCGTTCGTGTCAGTCTGCTCGGTTAAGACCATTAACCTGCTTGTATAGACCAAAACGAAATGTAATGTCAATGGACACAACAGAGTATAATAAGCAGGACAACAGTCTACTAACAGATCACTTTCTCAGGGTGAACTTATAAGCTCATAGTTACAGAGTGTATTTTAGTCTTTCATCAGCTTGCGCCTAAGCCTCTGCCTAACAATAAGCACAACCCAAAGCCTAAGCGTAAGAGCAAACCAAAATGGATCAAGCTAAAATTGACATTTGTTCACGTGCTCAGTTTCGAGTGTTGTCCCTTCATATGCGGCTGAGCAAAATCTCATGTGCTTGAACGAGTTTAGCATGAGTTTAGTTATCGTTACGATCACAAGATGGAAAGGATCATGATGATGTGAATATCTGTAGAGTAGAAATTTCCGTTTAACTGTTGCCACAAAAATCATTAAGGATAGACTTTGCTTAACAGTATAGAATTGCCGTACTGCTTATAGATAGGAAAAAGTGCCCAATCAACTATATTACCGAAAGGTTTGGTGCAATTACAATCATAAAAACAGGATCTGTCAAAAAATCATTTTTAGAATACATCACATTGTTAAGTCAGGTTAAGAACTATTTAAGGAAGTCACTCAACACCCATCTATTGGAACTGGTGAAGAATTTCAGTGCTGTGACAGTCCAGTTTAAGTGCTTCGGATTGAGGCAACATAATTCACATTCCTTGCTCATTCGTTGTGGCATATTTTTCAGTTATTTACTCTTTTACACATTTATGCAAAGGATTTGGTAAAAGCCATTCGTCAATATCAAACATACTAATTCCTATGAACGTGAAGAGACTGACACTCGAAAAACTGTAGACCGCGAATGCAATCACTTAAGTAATTCAACTTAATTTCAAGTAATTTACAGATTTAAGTAATTTAACTTCATCCACTCGAATTTGGCTTGAGCATAGATCTACGGTTTTTGCAAACAGTTAGGCTTACTTACAAGGAGCTAGAAGAAGTCCCAGTTTTTTTCACACACTGTGTAACAGTTTACTGATTGGAAAGATATAAATNTAGTATCATGTGAGAATTTCTAGCGATATCTGGTCATCACCTAAAGTAATTATCAATTGTTCATCAGCAGAAAGTTTTGAAGATCTATTCAGAGAGCCTATTTCTCTACGGGAACTCTCTCACTCAACGTTCTATTGGCAGTTTGAAAGCATTCTGTAAAGTGATCAAGGGATGAATTACGTCTTATTTGATTGACCCGAAATGACCGTATTGAATGATTTCATCAATTGTACAGTTGAATAAACGAACGAAGAGAACTCTTTTTTATGCATGCAACGAACAATGAATAACTGCACTCGAGGAGTTGTTCATGAAAAGGTCATATCTTTGCAATGTTGCGACACTCACTCAGCACACATGTAAACATCACTCTTCTGTCCAGTACTCACAGCGATATTGCTACTATCACCTCCCGTAGCTGTACGATCAAATTAATACAAAACAATTAATCGAATCAATGCATTGAGATGCATTTCTTCAATGGCATTCTTAAGACTGCGATAATTGTGTACTATTGCACAGTGTACTAAACTAATCAAGCAATTTGCTATCTTTCTGGAACTGGAATTATGACTGAATACGTTCTCGCTGAAGCTCATCGAATGATTGGAATGGAACACTAATAGAGTTATCAGCTATGAGCAAATGTGCGAAAAGAAAACAGCATCTGATAACGGACTATTGGGCTGGTGATGGAATGGTGAGGTATGGCTGGAAAAAAGTGATTTGTGATCGTATAAATGAGTGGAGTATTCGATGAAGGAATGAAGCGAATTGGCGATTGAGAAAAAGAGGAGAAGGCATGAGCCGAGTCGAACCGAGCCGAGCCGAGCCGCTGGCAACAACCGAAGCGAAGGCATGAAGAGAAAAATAGGGTGTTGTTGGTATTGGGGCGTGGAGTGATGATGCGTGCAAGTGTGTGTGTAAAGGCCCGGCCGAACCACTGACTGATCGGCCAATCGGCAGGCCGATCAGCAACAGACAGCACCATCGGCAGCAGCCGCAGCAGCAGCACGTAGTGTGACTGATGTGGGACGAGACTGTATGTTTGAGTGGTGATGATGCAGCGTGTTTGTGTATGGCCTTGCAGTGCGCCTGATCGCGGCGGCCTAGTTCTTTGCCATTTCCGTGACAGCGATTGTACATTCCTGTGTACAGTCTTGTGTCTTGTTGTTTGTTTTTGCTGGCACAATCCACAATCGATCTATCGGGCCTTGTTCAACTCACTCGCTCATCGCTCACTGTACAAACAATTATCATTTAAGCACAGTCCCACAATACACAACCACCACAATTCATGCCTAGCAATCTGCGCTTACTCTAATGCTTTCAACACTCACCATCAGAGTGCTGCTCCACATTCCTTCACATCAACAACCTTTACCCAGTCAGTCATCAACCGTATACTCCAACTTTATTATAAGGCTCTTTTTCCGCTGCTGCTTCAGCTGGTGTGCATTGCCACGTCAATGTGCACACACTGTCGTCGATATATTTGGGTGGTTAGGTGGATGGATGGATGGATGGATAGATGACTGATCGGTTGAACTTTAGTCTTGATTTGTTTGCAGCACAAGACTTGTGCCCTCCATGCATCTATCTGTTCATCTGTGACTGATTCGTTCATGTTATCATTATCTTTTCGTCCCGTGCACCACCCTTCTCGTGTTAATTCGCTGCAGCAACGATAAACTCAACCTAACCAATATAAAGGTCTATTAACGAATAGCATTCCATCAACGGAGAGTATTTGAATGTGCTGCTGCTGATGATGATCATGAAGAGAATAACACAAAGATGACACCATACAAAAGCAATATTTCATGACTATCGACAGGTTGACCATACGAAATAGTGTGCATGGGCATGCATGAATGTATTCAAAGTGCATCGTGCAACGATGACGATCACTTGAGCAGATCAGCATACAAACAAAGAGAGAATCGATGTGCCACCACATCATTCCAGATTAAATGTGTACCCGTATAATACAAACAGTCTTGTGAACTGTTTTTATAATCACTCTCACTACAACTCCAGCAGCCACATTCTGCAGGATACTCGTCGAATGCACATTCTAATTGCTCTTCTGTCTTTTCCTTTATCAGCTCTTTTCCTCGACCCATTCGTACCAAATTCTTCACTAGAATCTCACTCGATTGCTGAACAAGTTTGAGCCAACCATGCCATTCGGCTGTATGCAATAATCAATTGGTATCATCGTCATTTCCCACGATCTCATATGTTCTCCATGCATCTTACTAATTCCACTCCTCCGTGTCTCTGCATGTTCGTTCCGCAATTATCAGTCCATCTCATTCTTGCGGTGCGCTTCAAACTGCCAGCACTAATTTTCATTATTCACGCATCATTATTTCCGTCCAATTGTTCTCATGAAACTGCTACACTGCCAGTACTGTAAAACTTGGTGCACACTCATTCATCAGCCACAACTTCATTGTCATCAGTGATAAAAAGCCATTCACATCATGCAAATCACCAACCCGTCAAAGTGCTATCAGGAGTGATCGTGAAGTAGAAAGCGATATGAACGTATAATAATCCTAACATTTTTGAACAATAATCGTAAACTGCAGTCTTCTCGCTTGGATTGCAAAAAGCGATAAATGTAGTCGTTTTAATTGACCCATTTGCTGTTTGACAGTGAGCCAGCGAATTACTATTTGTTAAAGGCTTTAGTGAGTGCATTTTCATGAATTTTGATTCGTTCATCCATTCATGCTGCTAATCCTCTATCGGATGGAACATACGAGTGTGGAATTAGGTGGACGAGATAGGTCGTTGATGTATTATCGTTGTTGGCATTTGAATGAATTGCTGATTGGGATGGAATGATCGTACAAGTGGAATATCTCCACGATCGCCGTGTGGCCGACCCCACATCGACGAAGGCTGCTGCTCATCGGATCCGTCTTGTCTTCTCTTTCTCATTCTCTCCCCATCCACACTGTCATCATACTTTTCGCCGCTGTCTTGTCCTGTCCCTGTTAAGAAGCCCAAAATAACCGGTTTGGTTCGTCCGACGACCACGATTGAAATGAGATGTGAGATGAGAGCAAACGATCACGACCGAATTGGTGAATGAATACTTGAGCTGGTATGCAGGTAGGTATTATGCGCATATGTACGCACACACACACACACATCGTTATTATTGTTGGGGTTTTAGGTGAGTTGTGTACGAGATGATATGTTACCACCACAAATTATTCCATATTGCAAACTGCTTATTTCAGAGTTCAGAATCAAAACAGAATTCCTTAATGAACGCTTTGAAAAGAGTCGAATTTGTTTCGCTGACTTCATTCTCGAATGTTTGACAAAATATCGCAACACAACACGATTTACAGCAGCAATTCGGATTGCAAATTAACATTCATTTTCGATGCCCTCATTGATGAGTCGTTGAATAGCGCAATGACGAAACGCACGTTATACAATGCAAATCGCACATTGATACCACTAACCAGGAGTGTTCATCACGATAACACCATGCTCGGTTGCAGCTTTCACATCGATGTTATCCACACCAGTTCCGGCACGCCCGATCAGCTTCAGTTTTCCGGATAACGCTTCGATCACCTCACGAGTTATCTGCAAATCAACAGCACCAGTTGTATGCCTCATATCTGACTGTCGATGCTGAATCCGGGGCAAACAGATATGTCAACTAGCCTGTGCATTTTGTCGGATTAAGAAGTCACATGCAATTGAAAAATTCACTGTTATTGATTCTTATCATAATATCAGTCCTAACAACACTTTTATCGTTTTCCTTAAGATTTCTCCTAGGACATTTGAGGGACCAATAGAAATCCTCCCGAAAATGCGAATACGGACATGATAAAAGGCTGTATTCAGTTACCCACCCTTTGCAGTAATTTTTGTGTGCCTTTTCTAGAAAGTTTTCGTGTATGTTCTTGAAAGCAGCTGTCACAGTCAGATCGCTATTAACAGATCGAAGTAATCAGAAATGAACAAAAACGGATGAGGATAAAATTTGAAATGCAAAGTTTTCATAAAGAAATCCTTCGATTGCAACATATAGACAACTCAATCTACAGATTATTAAGAATGATTAGATGTATGAGATTATCGACATTTACAATAGTGATACCTTAGTGGCTGAACGAACAATAACTGCATCATGATTCTTGAGTTCGGCGATCAGTTGATCCTTGGGCAGTTTCGTTTTCTTGACGGCTTTAACGCCACCCTTATCCAGCGCATCGATACAACCTTGCTCAATTTCGTCAGCGATCAGCACCGAATTGATGTGAATCATCGTGGAACAGGACACTGTTACCTTTAAAATCAAGCATCTTAAGCATCGAAGTATTCAATCATCAGTTAATGCACGAAGACACTGTAAGCGAATCTTTCCCCGGATCAATGCCATTTCATTGGATGATCAACAAAAATTGGTGATAAATCTCCCGATTGACACTTACATCTGCATCCACAATTTTTTAAATAATGTTATCCACAATGATTAATTCTCCCTACACAACCCATTTAAACTGAAGTGTTCACTTAAATCTATAATCACGTTTAAGCTAATATCATTATCTCGTTTCTGTGGTTGTTTGGCAAGCTTTTTTTAAAAATATTTTCGGTTTAGTGGATGTTAATAGAAGACTGATATACATATATGATGGTTGATATAGACGTTTTTTTAAATGATGATATCGCACATAGTCGATGATATTGAAGCAAAAAATAAACTCGAACAGCGAAACATTTCATGAATGAAAGATATATTGAATAAAATTAACGACAAAAACTCAATTGAATTCAATTGCGTTCTCCGTTCCACTTTCTTTCACTAAAAGTAGAAGAAGATGAAGTTGAACGAGGTAATGAAAATCGTTGAACTTTACAAATAATCGTCCAGAAACGTCGTTGATGAACTCGTTCTAATATGGTACAGAAGAGTGCATACTAGCCATGCAATCACACAAAACTAATATTACACAAAACTACTCGATTTGCGGTAGAAAAGGAATTTCTTCAATCGCTTCTTTGATCAACAGATTCCGATGGTTATATAGCAATTCGTACTGTTGAATGCCAAGGCCAAATGAAAACAAAAAACAACGCAAACTAACAATCCTGTTGTATCAGTGGGATGTTTTTATCACTGTCTTTATATACTGCGATCATATTTAGTTGCATCATGTTGCCCTTCCATTACGTCATTTGACCCTGATGGTTATCCTCCGTTGTTGTTGTTGTTGACATAAATTCATCCATTCCGCCTTTTGATGATTGATGTCAATTCAATTTTTCCACAGGCAACAATTGTTTCCGGAACACGGATGATAACAATTTTATGCCCGAAGAGTCTAAGATGAGGTAACTAAGATGATCATAGTTATGAATCGTCCATCATTCAGCAATATAACACATTTGATTGATAATAAAGATTTAATGAAATGCAACAATACACAGTTTATTTTAGGTCACCACTTAGCGATTCGATTGTAGCATCTTATCAAATTATTGCTTAAAATAAATGAAAATTAAAATGTTTGAATCCTCTCTCAAAAAACAACGAAAGAAACTGCAATGAAAGATGTTCAAGATTTATTCAGTAGATGAAAATTTGGTAACGATTCTTATTACAACAAAAATTGCGACTTTAACAATATATCAAAATAAGCCGCAAACTACACAGCATCCAACAAAATCTGTAGCTCCAAACCGACTGAGCAGGTTTAATGGACGTTGAGAATTTGAATAAAAAATTTAACATATCCTGATGTTTTTAAGAAATCTGACAATAATATCTGCGTTCTGGGGTAAGCGCCAGTGCAAGGTTGTTCCGTACCCACGGTTGAATTAATTCGTGTTCGTTACAGAGTTCTATGAGCCCCATCGACCTAACTTTACGAAGGATTGCTTGCGAAAAAACGATATTTGACTTCAAATCGTCACTGATTAGTTCACCGAAAGGCGTGAAGAGAAATCGAAACGATCATCCATACCGGTCCTCAGTCATGAATAAAATCGGAGGAGTCGATGTAATTCGTTATTTTATCAACTACCAACTTAATTGCGCAGATGATGGTCATTAAGCATACCTTGTTTTCACCTCACTGCGAGCATAAAGGTATTCTCGAAATCTATTTGAAGGATCTGAAAGCGAGGCTCAACATTCAGCCTGTTCCAATATTCCTCAATAACGGCGAAAATCGCGCAGTCGTCCTCTGAACTTATTCCTCATCAATTCTTTAACTGTGGTAAACCACTCACAACGGTGGCCGTTTCTGACGTGCAGCATATGATCTGAATGAAGTAATGTTCATGCACAAAACCACAGCTATGCCACCTTGAAGGTGATACAACTTCCTCAGAACATTCTCTAAGAACAGAGAGAATTTCAATTGCTTCACTACATATATACCATTTGTGACTAATGAACATCACTGATTACGCCAGGTGGCATAACTTTCGTAAATTAGCATTTGGTATCAAAGTTTGTTGCAATTTTGAAAATTACCGAATCTCAGCTAAAAGCTGATATATATCTTTCTTATTAATTTCTTTTCTCAGGACCGAGAGAATTTCAATTATTCCATTATGCATACCAATTGTAACTATTGAACATCACCACTCCTCACGCCAAGTAGCATAACTCCCGTAAGTGAGCATTTACGGTAAAAGTCCATCTAGGGTACCTAATCTAGGGTACTTAATCACGACTACAAGATGGTATATATCTTGGTTATGAATTTTTCTTGTTGAATGGGTAACAACTTCAATTATTTCTTGAACATTTCTATTTCAAACCAACCAGAAGATCTCGTGTATATCTTTACTGCTGTCCATTCTATACATCATGCTTCATTCTGCTTGAACTACACCACAAAACAATATCTAAATTACTCGAGTTTATTATCGTTAAATGGGTAAGAAATTCACATTTCTTAACATCTATTCTTCGTATTCCTTACGATTAGCACCTGAAACTGCGAGATCTGTCAATTGGCCACTTGGCGAACTGTCACTCCAAATTGTCGGAGTGGCACATTGTCGTAAAGCAAATTGTCGTAGATCCTCTTTTCAAGAAGTGTATTATCGATAGTGTTAAAAATTTCCCATCCAGTCACGTTTTCGAGTGGCTGGAAATCTTGCCCTTCATCCACATCGCATTCATCCGTCTTTGCTTATCATTCAAATAAATGTTTAATTAATGCCGGTCATGTGTAGATCAGTTTCGCAGGTGATCGCCTTTTGCTGATTTTGTTTTCGATACTTCAGGTTTAAACATCCTCAATGAGCTTACATCGAACACTGATCCCGCTGAGACGTTTCCCTGTGTTTGCGAAGCGTTTCTCGTCCACAGCTAGCTCACCATCGTCAGGGTTATCATTTCAGCATTGCATTTGTTTGATTTCAAAATGGCCAAATTTTGAGAATACTTCTCGAGAAATGCATTACACATTATTAGAGAGATTAGAATTTCAGTGTTTTTGACATATCGGATTGACATTCTAAAAGTCACTGTGCATCTGAAGTTTTAATTTTTTGAATTGTTGTTCGATCAGAAAAGAAAACAGATCTGGAACGCGAATATTTTAGTGATAATGTTTTTTCGATTCAATTTCAGTGACCCTGTGAACTTATTTCGACAAATAAATAAATTTGCGAGTGAAGGTAAATGGGATTCAATCAATAACGCCCCAAAACTGTTCCTGTTCAGTAAGGATAAGGCTGATGTCTATAAGGCTTATTACAATCTGGTTAGTACTTTCTTTCTTTACTTCCCAACCTCTTTATCAACCACGGATTTCCTAAAGTTTTTTTGACTTTCGAGTTTCGCAAATTTTGCAGCTTAGCTGATTCTTTCTTACTTGATCGATTCTGGTTCATATACAGCAGTCAATGGAGACTTTATGTTGCTAGGCAGACGAGGAT